GAAATGTGTTTAGTAACAACTTATATCCTTCCGTGATATTGATCAACATCTGGATCTTTAGGCTAAAAAGTTAAAGCCTGATGTTTAGTGCAAAAAACCCTTCATGTTTATATTTTAGATAATACCGTATAAAAGTTAATGTCAGGTTAACATGAATGTGTAAATGTGTAAGCTGGCGGCTTCTGTGGGAACGTTTTACAAATCCCTGTTGTTGCTGCTGAGCAGTTTCGGATAAGACGTGCCGATGGATCGCCCGTGCCGATACACAACCAGCTCCAGCATGTACTCGTCCACTTTCACCACCACGGATGTCATCTTCTCAGTGGACATGAGGAAGATGATGGTGAAGAGAGCGATCTCGAACTCTGGACTCACTCCGATGAAGGAACCACCGATCGGTTTCACGAGGCCCTTCCAGCTGAACTGCAGGTTCAGGACATGGTCGTCCTCATCAGGCTGAAAAACAATGACATGAAAAGTTAATTAAAGAAATAGATTCATTTGTTTTTAAAGGGTGAGTATTTTCTTACTGTATCTTTGTTGTCTCGAGCTTTATAACCTTTGTAGTCGACATGACTGTGTTTCTCCTGCAGGTAGAACTGGACCCAGTTGTGAAGACCCATGATCTCTTGGCCATATTTGGTTTCTCCCACGAAAACATGTTCAAATCCACAAGAATCTTCTCTATAATGAAAATAAGGTCAGTTTATTCAATTTATTTAATCTCTATGACCTCATTCATCCCATTAGAGGTTTTCTCCCTCTTATCTACCGTTTCCCTTTATCAAAAGATAGTTTCACAAAAGGTGACACAACCTCCTAAATATTAAATATCTGCATTATGAGATGAATATTGAAGATTATTTTAAATGATGCATTTAAAAGCTCTCTAATAAATTAAGTGATTGGACATTGATTTAAGATTTATCCCTCTGTTTTTTTCAGCCTCAAATCATGGTCATTGCATTTAGTGACAATAACTACAACACAAATGTATTTAAAAATGTATTTGGCAAAACAAAGGGTTAAATGTACATTTGCTGAATCACTGTATCTATTCATGTATTTATTTTTTCATCTGCCTCTGTGCCAGTTCATTCGCCTGCAGAGAACCAGTCCTGAATCCGGTAAAGGCCGACGTCTGCGTCATTCAGTAAATAATTAATTTTAACTGGAGTTAAAACTCACCCCCCTCCTCTCTCTCTGTGGTAGAGGCGGAACCAGATGTCATACAGCTGTTGTTTAAACTGTCCACGGTCTGATGGCGACTGGCCCTTCTTGACCAGATACTTGTGGGCACACTGTAAAAAAGAACAAATTCAAAAATATACAATTGTACAATTTAATAAAGTTCACTGCATTAACAGATCATCATAAAAAAAAGGACAAACATTTTACACAATTTGTCACCAAACTCTAATTATGGTGTCATACATTTTTATAGTCTACAATATAAAGTTGCATACATTACAACAATCTAGAGTTTTGGTGGTAAACTCTTTTGTGCAGCTGATATTTTATATCAATATGATATCTATGCTTAAGGCCCTCTGTGTTCAATTGCATCTTATTATGATGGAAAAACTGTAAATAAAGCAGTTTTGTACGAGGTGACTTATTTGTCCTGTGAATAAGCAACAGCCTGAAACTACAGGTAACCAGATGTGTAAGCAGCTGCTGTGTTGTAACTGTAGTTGAGGATGACACCGTGTCAGGTGTGTCTCAGAGACGACTCCCTCTGCACCTTCATGACATCCGTCTCCATTATGGCATCGATAAACAGCCTGTTCTCCTGAAGCTCCTCTGACGTGACTTTCTCTGACACTCCTGTGGACATCTCATAGTTGTCCAGCAAGTTGATGAAATCTGCGTGAATAGGACACATGCTCCTTAACAGTGAGGACGCGTGGTTCGAGCAAAAGAGAAGCGTGACGGGTAAATCTGCTACTCACGTGCATATGTCTCGATACTCTTGAGCTTGTCTTCGTTGACGTATGAGAAGAGTGGAGCTCTGGCTTTGTCTCTGGCGTAGGTACTGCCCTGAGCCACATATCCTGCCCTCCCCTGAATTAAAACACACACATGGTGGAGTCAGGCTGTACTCAGAGCAGGGCCGTTAGAACAGTGGAGGCAAAGAAGGTAATTGCCTGGGGCCCCGAGATGAGGGGGGGGGCCACCGAGAATAGCTGATTACATCAATTCACATCAACTACAATTTTGTGAAAACCCCTTTAAATTCTGTCAGTGGATGCAACGACTCCATCGTCAGTAACGTCCTAACAAGGCCCCATAATATTAACTTTCTGCACAAAGCTTTGTAATTTTAGAGGTCTGGTTAAAGAATGTATAAATGTGTGTGTGTGTTTGTTATGGCAGTGGAGGTGTGCACTTAAATTACTTTACAATTATGAATGTGTTTGCACATTATGACCTTCATTTGTAATTTTGATAAGAAAAGAGTCATTTGAAAATTCAAATGATGTGATTTTGAATCTATGAACCCAACCGGCCTTGTTTCAATAGTGCAGGCTGCTGCTGGTGTAATGATGTGGGAAAAAACAATCAACCATCATTTGAAGGCCACAGTCAAATAGGTCTTTTATCTTTGGCTGACTGATGACGTCCTGTGCTGACCTGTAGGGAAATGATGTAATCAGTCCCCGGCCTGAGGCGGTTGTTATCCAGGTACCAGAGCTGGTTCAGCGCCTCAGTGAGCTCCTGGTTGGCCTGTTGACTGTGGAAACACAAACCAAACAATCAAAACACTTAAGCGGTAGAATCCTAAGGTTTATCGCCACGAATCTCAGCTTTTTGAAGGGTTCTCTGTTTTTTTCAACTGCAAATTATATGTGTATCAGTTAACACTATCGAAACTTTAATTGGATTGTGTCGCTTGATTTAGATAACTGTGTTTAACAGAGTGCTGATCTGTGCAGCTCTTATTTTAGATGTGGATAATGGAACAATTTATTTAAAAAGAAATAGCTGGAATGTTCAAAAAATCATAAAACCAATTCATGCTGTGTCTTGTGAAGCTGATGCAAGATGTTTCCTGTTTGTGACTTTGGGCTCCTGATGTATGCACATAAAACATTTTTTTTTTTTTAATTTGATGGTTAAGAAACAGAAATCTCTGCAAATGAAGCACGTATGAAATTGAAAACACATGCAGCGAGCATTCCAAACGCAGTCATTAAATCATCACAGAATTTAATCCAGAGGCGGATCAACATCTGCACAGACTGCTTTGTTAATCTATTCAGATTACGGTTTTTTTTACCATTAAATGATCTCGGTACATCTACGTACTCTGAAGATACGTCTCTACGTTCAAATCTTGTCATCATTGCTCTTAGACTCACACATACAGAAACAACAAATCACCTGTGATTTGCAACAGTTGAAATGGAGCGGTTGAATCCTGGGTACCTGTGTTGCTTCTGGTGGTTTTATTTGGTTGGACAACACAATACGTGCAACTGACAACAAACAGACCTGTGGGGGGGGAAACCTGGCTACCACTGCACCATGAAATGACCACACCTCCAACGACCTACACCTCCAGGCCTCTGTCTGTGCATAGGGTGTAACATAAAATGAAAACCTTTACGTCCCTTTGGTTCTTCAAACACCTCTAGTTTAAATATAATCCAGGATATAATCTGAACCCAGTTTTAAACTTTTGTATCTGTTCAATCTCACCACGCTCTTCCTATCATGCAAACAGACGACTGACATATTGGGAGGGATTTAAAAAAAGAGATGAGTAAGAAGCAACTGACAGGAAGAGGCACAGAAACTTCTCTGTTCTTAAATTAGCTATTTGCTGCAGCAGAGTCAAACTGCATGTCCTCACTGTTCTGTTGTTTAACTCATAATTATTACCAGACACACACAAACACACACACAAACACACACACACACACACACACACACACACACACACACACACACACACAAACATCCAAACAACAGTCTTCATTCTCATCAACAACATTTTCCATCTTATTAACATCAACACAAACATCAAGTGTCACGTTACAGTTTACATTAGAATAGAATATTAGTAGAATATTATTTACATCAGATGTTTTTCTTTTGAAAGGAGTCATTGATGGACAAGCAGCAGAGACTCTCAGTCCATAATAAACATGCAATAGAAAGAAGTGAATGAAAACACTTAGGAAAGATAAGTTGCTCTCTTGTATTTGCTGTGCAGTCTCACCCTCTTGCCATGTTTCCGCTGAGTAGAAAACTTCTCACATCAGAAAAAAAACACCTCCTCAAGAGGACAGTTATCAGGAGGAACAGCCAATTAGAGGAGAGGAAAGCGCCCACGCCCCGCCCCCCCCCGATACCAACAGGGTGATAAAAAGTTTTTCTCATCACTGTAAAAACTTTATAAGGAGTTTTAATAAATGTATGTTTGCTTCATTTTTCAAATATATAAACTAAATAATAAATAATAATAATAAAATATACAACTCAGACACAGGGCCGGACTATGATTACAAAGCTTATGTAAATCCAAACAAAACAGCAGATGCAATTCAAAAATATGACGATAAATAAAATCTCACTGAAATGAATGAGTTAAAATAAAATGAAATAAAGAAATCAGATTCTCCTCTAGATTTGTAATAGGCCTGTTTGGGTGGGTTTCATTGTGAGAATTATATTTTAAAATATATCGTAGTAAAGTGTGAAGATAAATGCAAAGACGAGGGTTGTGGTTGTTATCAAATAAATAAAAATAAAAAAAGACTTTACACTGACACACAACAGTTTTCACACAACTCCGGCTTTTATTTTGAAAACCACCCTCTCCCAGACGAAACTACGTCGCTTGTGCGCATGCGCGGCAGCTGCACACGTTGTTGTGAATGTAAAAGTTCGTAGAGACGCAGATAATCGTGATCGAGCAGCTTCTGCACGGTGTTTACAGGGAACACACCCACAGCATCTCTCCCGCGCGTGTCTGTGGTGACCTGTGTGAACTGTCACTGAAACCAAAGCGACACGTGTTACACGGGAACCGCTGAAGTTTGAAGAAAGCTAACAGGCTAGCTCTTAGCAGCAGCAGCATGGCAGCGGTGCTGGAGCTGATCGCCGGGAGCTACGAGCAGGTCGTCTTCGGTTACCGAGTGAAAACTGACGATGAAGTAAGCTGCAGTGTGTTGTTGTGTATAATTGTGTAGTTGTGTGACTGATGTGCGACGCGTTTCCTGTTCTCCGGCTCCTAAAGAACTGAAATGGTCACTGAGGTTGAGGGGTTCTCCTGCACAGCATCTTACCTCAGTGATCAAGAGTTTGCTTCTCTACAGGGAGATGATGGGTTGTGTTTTCATGCATGAAGCAATAAAAACTACTGCTCAGTTCACCTAGTTTCAGCATTTAACTTATTACTCATCCACCTCTCCATGGTTTGTTTTTGCAGGAGTGGACAGCCAAGGCAAACTTCACGCATCACGCCCACACTGCGTCCATATCAGCTGTGGCGGCCAGTGAGAGGTTTGTTGTGACGGGAAGCAAAGATGAGACCATTCAGCTGTACGACATGAAGAAGAAGATCGAGCATGGTGCTCTGCTGCATCATGACGGTGAGAATCTCATGTCAGTGAAGAAAGAAGCTGTGGCTCAGGTTCAACACAGGGTCTGCAATCTCTTATTTCACTTAACATATGAAAATATTAAGGAAACCGTCATGAGAGAGGATGCTGCACATACAAGGTCACTGAGGAGAAAGACAATTGATCTTATTATTGCTGTTTATTGCCATTACTGCAAACTGTTGTTAGGAATTTAACAGGAAGTACACAGCAATAGATTAAGACTTCACACTTGAATCTCCCCTGTAATCGCGTAGGCTCCATCACCTGCCTGGAGTTTTACGGGACGTCTCATCTGCTGAGTGGGGGAGAGGATGGACTCCTGTGTGTGTGGGGCACGAAGAAGTGGGAGTGCCTGAAGTCCATCAACGCTCACAAGTAAGAGCACAGAGACCTGGTGCTAACATCCGTCCTGAGAGATCTGATCGTAGGAGTCCGCTTGTGTGAAAGCACCCGAGACCCATTTAGGAAGTGTTTAAGATATGATCACCTCCGACACCTTATTCAGTGGAGGTGTGAGATGCATGGAGCCACATTCTTTTACCTGTGTGAAGGCAAATGTGTCCTGTGTTTTGAAGAACAACCTACTTAGACGTTCTCCTGCATTAACTCTCCGCCATTTTTTGATTTTCTGTTAAAAAATGTTTCATTGTAAAACTGCGTCCATCAGCCTGTGCTGTCACTCACACACACACACACACACACACACACACACACACTGAGATGTGTGTATTATTGTTGTGTTGTATTTTGATGCACAGGAACACTCAAATTATTCATCCTCTTGTTTTCTTCAGAGGTCAGGTCACGTCGCTGTCCGTCCATCCGTCTGGGAAACTTGCACTTTCAGTTGGGACCGATAAGACGCTCAGGTAAAAATCCACAGCTCTGCTCTAGCACGTGTTTCATTTAACAAAGAATCACAAGTGACTGTTGGATCTTTTGTTTTTAAAAAAAAATCTTTTTAGAACCTGGAATCTAATAAGTGGAAGATCGGCCTTCATCAAAAACATAAAACAGAGTAAGTTTGGTTGTGAGTTTAATGAACTGAGATATTTGTATGTTTGAATTGATCCTGGACTCGTTTTGTCTTGACACTTTGAACAGCTGCACACATTGTCAGATGGTCTCCAGATGGGGATAAATATGTGGTGGTGGCAGATGACAAGGTGAACATCTACGACCTGGAGACGGCGTCTGTGACAGGAACAATCACAAACCCCAAAAGAATCTCGTCTGTTCAGTTCTTAAATGTAAGTTCTGCTACTTTTTCTGAAACAAGGAGCACGATAAAAGTGACTTTTCTTATTGATATTGAGACAGTCATGGTTATGATGATTGATTTATGATGCCTGGTGTTGTAGATTACCAATATACCACATGTAAGATAACATGTCTTATCTTAGGATGTTGTATTGTGTTTTTCAGAACTCTCTCCTGGCCATCGCAGGAGATGATGAGATTGTGAGGTTGTGTGAAATGGAAAGACAGAAATGCGTGTGTGAGTTCAAGGCTCATGAAACCAGGTAATTACATTTAATGACTTGTTTCATCTACATGTCCCCAGTGAGTATGTGTGTGTCATGACAGAGATGAAGGGAGCAGTATTGACAGCTGTAGTGACAGAGGTGTTGTCAGTAATGGAAGAATATGAGGAAGAGATCTGTCACAATATCTGGCAAGAGAGTGGATAAAGTCTGGAAGGCCACACGTTTTAATCAAAAATATTTTTAAAAGGATTGCAGTTGAAAAGTTTATTTTACTCATGAAGGTTCTTAACGCAGTGAAATGACCTGAAGTTTTTCAGCGGCTTCAATAATATGAGCTGTCTAAATCATAAGGAAATGAGCTTCTATGCTTCCTATCTTATCTCCTTTAGCAGAGGAAACACTGGACCATCCTTTACACAAGGAGAGGAGAAAATTCCGTCCCATAATTTAAAAGCGACGCAGCGTCCTAGTTTTATTCTCCTGAAACGAACAAAAACTTATAGAAATCCTCACACGATCGTCTGAGCTCCTGATTTCATCTCCGTCACATCTGTCCAGTCAGGAGTCACGTTGAACAATGAGATTATTTAATTTATAGTTCTGAAACGCAGCTTGCTCGGTTTGTGAGCTGCTGCTTTGTAGCCTCTCGTCTATTTGGTCCGGCACCATCTTGTTTTTTTAAATCAGAAGTGACCACATTAGTAGGAGCGAGGGGTGGAGCCTGACTGAGAGCTCGAGGACACTGCACGCCCTTCTCCCCCTGCAACCTGCACCCATTGGACATTACTAGCTGTCAATCACATTATATATACAGTATATATCATATACACATCATATATTTGACTCTATATAGAACCATGACTTACAAAATGAACACCAGGGTGTATTGAGGAAGAAACAAGAGATGTTGATTAAATTTCAACTTTATTTTTTTTTAAGAGAGGTACATATTTTCTTTTACATTTCTTTTGCCTCTTCTTCTCCTTCTCTCTGTCTAGTTTCTATCTCTTCTCTTGCTTCTTCTTCTCTTTCAGCTCCTTCTTTCGCCTCTTCTCTGCCTCTTTYTYTGCTTTCTTTTGCTCCTTTACTTTCGTTGCCTTGTCCTTGTCGCTCATCAAGGCCAGTTCCTGAAAAGACAAAGACGAGTGTGTTTAGATGTTTTCTCTTTCAAAAGTCTTAATAAAAAACAAACTTAAAGTGCAACTAGTTCTTATTCAAATCAAACGGAGCTGATGTGACTTACCTGAAGCTTGATCTGTTTCAGGATGAGCATCTTTATGTCGGCCTCGTACTTGGCCGCCCACATCTGCTCAGTATCACTGACCAGTCTCTCCAGCTCCTTGATTTTTACTAAGCCAGCCTCCTTCTCCACCTGCTCACAACTGAGATGGTCCTCCAGAGCGTGAACTTTTGTCTCCCACTCAGTCTTGTTCTGGAGGATCCTGGTCTCGGTGGCTTGCTGTATGGAGATTAATTTCTGGTTTCTGGCTTCCAGTGCTATATTCTGACTGGTGAGACTGGCGATCATCTGATCCGTATGGACAATTTTAGCCTCATGCTTGGTCACCCACTTCTCTTCTGTGACCTTGAGCAGTCTCTCCAGCTCCTTGATTTTCAAGAAGCCTGCCTCCTTCTCTGCCTGCTCACGGCTGAGCTCGTCCTTCTGAGCCTTGATTTTGATGAACCCATCCTTCTTCTCTGCCTTCTCACGGCTGAGCTCGTCCTTCAGAGCCTTGATTTTGATAATGCCAGCCTT